CTTGCTTAGTCTCTTAGCTGTCAGTATAGGAAAAGGAGAAAACCAAATCTTTCCCCTTTTCTCTCTCCTTAAAAATCTTCTTAGGGAACAATGTTATTGTTTTTTAACAGTTTCAATTCCAGGGTACCTTATTTGTTGCTTTTGCTGTTTGACCCAGTCAACCAAAACTTTCACTTCTTATCTTCCTCCTGCACATTCTTTTCCGGTCGAGTTCTTCTTTGAGGTGGCCATTTCTGACTACAGCTGCAACCGCCTTTGGGAAAGGGAGTAATGGCCAGCTGGGGAGGAGAGATGCGGCTCTCCACAACCCTGCTGGCAGTCTCCCCCCTCTTCACCACCTCTACGGGGTGGCTTAGCCCCAAAACCAGCCGGCTCAGGGCGCTCCAGCAGCGAGCATGGATCGAAGCCTCGCAGAGATGAGGTTTCGGTCTGTCGCTGAAGAAGCTCAAACCGGAAGTCCGATGATTGGAATTATTAAGTGTTGTATAAATATAAAGATGTATAAATGTATATAAAACATGTACTCTATGCCATAATATGTATGACAAACAGGATTGTCAGGACAATCACGCCACGCCCAAGTTTTTAATAATTTACTCAAAACTTTTGTAAAAGAAAAAAAGGTGAAAGTTAGTCTCAGAAGATACAATCCCATCCCTCAAATAAATGTCCCACTGAACTACTTGTACTGTATAAAACAATATCTTTACTTTTCCATAAATGTTCTTAGGAAGTAAACCAAGATGCCTCAACTGCTGTAACCCCACAGGCTTCGGGGACAGGAAATGAAGCATGCGACTGACAGCAGAAACCAAACTCGGATCCCTAGCTCAGATTCGAGTCTAATCGGCTTCAAATCGCGCAGCCTTTTCTGCAAGGAAGGCGGAACTCGCAGAAGTTTTGACAGGGAGTTCCTGAGGCTGCAGCTGCTTGGATCGCCTGCCCAGGATGGATGGGAACCCAATCTAAGGCAGTTCAGAAAGTTCGGGGCGCGGGGAAGGACCTCTGCGCTTGAACCACCTCCTCCTCTTCCTCTTCCTCTTGAGAAACGAAGGCCACTCTCAACTCACCTGCCAGGAAAGAGCCGCCCAGCGTCGCTCGCTTCTCCGAAACCGCTGCGCCCGCCTGTTGCTCTGCGCCCAAGCCGCTACCCGTTGCGCAAGGGAGAGGCCACCGCTGGAGACAAATAAAAGCCGCTCCTTTCAGCTGCCGCCTCCGGTCAGGGAGGAGCCACGGTGGACAAAGGGAGCAATCGGAGGTTAGGCTCGGAGCGCGCAAGCCGAGGGTTCCTGAGCGCGTGCAGAGCGTAGCTCTCTTTCAGGCCAAATTTTGCAAAGACGGCGGGCTCGGCTGCAATCGCACCGCGCATCTCCGCCTGGCTTTAAACCTTTGGGGAGGGGGGCCCGGCGCAGGTCTTGGGGGGTAGGAAAGGGGGGGGTAGGAAATCAGCTGTTCGAATCCCCGACACCTTTGTTTCTTACCTGTCTGAGTCGGGGCTGCGCTGCCCTGCAAAGCCGGCAGGGCCGCGAAGTCAGGCGGCTTACCTTGTTAAATCCCCAAAGGTGCTTTTTTTTTTCTTTTCTTTTTTTCCAAGAGGCAACTGGGCTTTCCGTTTTTTTTTTTCCTTTGAAGAGGTTTCGCTTCTCATCCAAGAAGCTTCTTCATCTCTTGAATGAGAAGCCAAACGTCTTCAATGCAAAAACCCAGAAAGTCCAGTTGCCTCTTGGAAAAAGCACCTTTGGGACAACCTGGATGACTGAGAAGCTCCATCAACATACCTTGTTAAGTGCTTTCATCTTGCCAGATTTTTCTCACCAAGGGCTATGCTGTAATCCAGGACTGCGGCTGACAGTCTGAAGCACTTGGAGTTCTTAGGATTGGCTGGGGATGGGAGGGAATTGTAGTCCACCCAGAGGCCGGGGGGGGGGGCTTTAGGAACATCTGTCCTGGGTAGGTTCTTCTTCCCCCAATTCAAAGCCCTCCAGATGTGCTGGCCATCATCGACAGCCCTGGTCTGAGGGGTCTTTAGTGCTCTCTGAGCTCGATTGATGTTTCATTACCCAGACTCGTAATATCATCAGTGCTTTATTGGTACAGGTCTGTTGGAATACAACTTGTCTTTGACAATGGCAGCCCAGGTTTAGAATTTAAATTATTTAGGAGAGGGCTTGGCTTTGTGAAAGGCGACGAATCGAGTTAAATAGGTAGGGGGGGGGGCTACTCCGCTTAATTTGATGGAAGGAACTACTAGGGGGTCCTCCTTAGGGTCAAGAGGTCAATAAAACAGTCAATACTGCAGTTAAACCTCTGCCTTTTTTGAAGGGTGAGGTGGCAAAAAATTGAACAGTGTTTGAATCACTTCCTTGTGGCTGCCTTAAAGAGTGCAGTACTGCAGGTTACTTCTGCTGACTGCAATTTGGCAGTTCGAATCCCACCAGGCTCAAGGTTGACTCAGCCTTCCGTCCTTCCGAGGTGGGTAAAATGAGGACCCAAATTGTTGGGAGGCAAGAGGCCGACTCTGTAAACCGCTGAGAGAGGGCTGTAAAGCACCGTGAAGCAGTATATAAGTCTAAGTGCTATGGCTATTGCAAGGGAGAGATCTAAGATCTTGGATTTATTGAGAAATTCTGGCCGATTGCTGCGACAAAAAGGATATTGGTCTAATCTCATCTTAGATGCATAGCCTGCCTTTCCTCCCGGACATAGTTCTCAACTTTGGCAGCTCTGTTATGTGGACTTCAACTCCCAGAATTCCCTAGGCTGTCATGCTCCATGTATACACAAGGCTGTTTTCTGCACAATCACCATTCTTTCTTCGTGCTGAAAAAGAGTGACCCAAAGTCACCCTAGGACCTTTCATGGTGGAAGGTGGACTTCAACCTGGGCTTCCTTTGTGCTGATCCAACATCTTCCCAACTAATGCACTATAGAAAACATTACCCTGACGAAAACGACGGCACTCCACAACTCAACTTTGATTCCTGACAAGCTGCCTCAGAACTTCTTCGGGTTTACTGAACGTTCTTGGCTGCCTTTTTCTCCTTACAGTATCTGCACTCAGCATCAAACTAGTTGCTATTTTTAGGTCTGACTCCAAAAACAGGTTTGTTGATTCCGGAGACACAGAGATAAGTTTGAGGAAACTCCTGAAGCTCATGGAAAGTAACTGTGAGCGCATGTTACAGACTGATAATATATCACTCTTTGAGCAGTAATGTCCTCATAAGCAGAAAAGATATTTAAACATCTTGTGGCATTTGATAACGAGGAAAAGTAGGATGCAATATAATTAATACACATAACTGAAACAGATTTGGTTTTTATACTTAGAGCTACTTGACACTACAGTTGTTCCAAGTGTTCACACAATGACTTGGCAACATTTTTAGAATGGCTTTACCAGCATCTTCTCAAATAGACCTTCTATCTCCAATTCAGTGACTAGTCTGAAGGCATCCAGCTACCTTTTGTGCCCAGATGTGGCCTCCTTGTTCCTTTAACTATCTTTGTCAAACAGCCTACCATTCCAAAGGTGATTCAGATTTTCAACATGGTTGTGTGGAGGGAGTCCACCATTAAAATTGTGACAAAGCAGGTGTAGACACATAACTGAAAACATCAGGGAAGTTGAACTGTGCTTTTTAACTCCAGGATCCCAACCGTGTAGGATGACATAAAACTCATATTGGCTTTTGTTGTATTATCCTTTGATGGTTTTCTTCTATTTTAATCAAACCACATAGTCTAATTTCATTTATAATTGATTATAAATAAGATTTTAATGCTAGGTTTATTTCAAGGTGTCTCCATACCTGTGTTTTTCAACTATAGCAACCTTAAGATGTATGGAAGTTAAAGTCCATACATCACAAAATTGCTGAGATTGAAATATCCATCCATCCATCCATCTTCACATACCTCAGTTCTTTTGCTGGTTGAGAATGATACAATCACACCATTTTTTTCCCCACAGTCAAGCAGACCCTTTTTAAAATCACACATTTTGTTCCCTGACTATTACAGTTTATGGTCTCCCAAATTACTGTAATTAGAACAGCCTGGACTTTTTAAAAAGAGAGAAATATTTGTGGGGATTGACCTAGAAGCAACAACTGCTTGAGAACACAAGAGGGAGCCTGCCGTCTGCCACCAGCATTCAACTGGGCAGTCCGTGTTGGCACTGTTCTCTTCTCGTGGTTCTACCTGTGTGTTTGTACTGAGGCTGCATATCCAGAATTCTAATCCTGCTTGTTACCAAATGTCTCCTTCAAAGCTGAATCAATCTGATGGGCGCAAGCTACACAAACTTCCCCGGCGTTTCCCAAGTATGTGTTCATTTCCTGAAATTAGGTGTTGGGCAAGACATGCCTGTATGTTGCACCAATATTTTTGAATGGGTGTTTCTTCTGTTGTCCTGTCAATTCTTCACCCAGCAAGATCCTGTTGAAGCAGTGAGGTCCTGGCTAAGCTATTCCACCAGCTTGTCTTTGGAGAATTTGAACTCAGATAGTTGCCACAAGGATTCCTGCCCATTGCTTCCTGCAGTTGCAAAAGTCCCTCCCTCAGCAAAGGGATATGGACAGATGGGTGATAACTAACCTGAAGTGTGATGTAGAGTACATTTAATGAGGTAGAGTTAGCCGTTAAGGAACATACCTGGGTTTGGGACACATGCACATCAACGGAGGCCTCGTAAGATGTTGGAATTAACACCATAGAGCAGGGGCTTCCAGCCTTGGCAACTTTAAGACCTGTGGACTTCCAACTCCCAGAATTCCCCAGCCAGCCATGCTCTCTGAAGTCCACAGGTCTTAAAGTTGCCAGGGTTAGACACCCTACCATAGAGTATCCTATTTCTTTAAAAAAAAAAAAAAGTCTGACCCAGCAATATTAGCGAAGCATTAATCAAAAAGTGGTTACGAGTAGCTAATGTGGTACACTTTCCGTTCCTAGCACCTTGCTAACAGCAAGGTAGAAATATGAAGACTTCACTAATACTTCCTTGGCAAAATAGAACAGGAGTGCGCGAGGGGATCATCGTATCCCCAGAAAGTCCAAAGGTTAATATAATTAGCACAACAAGCCGAAACATGTTGGGCTTTCAAGTCCTTTTTGCTGGTTTGGCAGTCAATTGTTTTTCTCTTTCCAGTTCCTTCTCCCGCTGCTGTTCTCGCTCTAGTTCTTCTTTCTGTCGTTTTTGCTGGAGTTTGAGTGCTCTCCTCTGAAAGAAGGAAGCATCAGAAAGCCAAAAGATTATATTTGAGGAAATCACAGCCTCGTTATTCTGCTATTATTTTTCGCTGGTCTCCTAGCTTTTATTTCCTCCTCATGTACTATTACAAAGGATCCTGGAAAAAGCTTAGTTTTATTCTATAACAGTGTATCTGTTTGAGGGTTATAGCCAGTCCTTCCAAAAAGGTCATTTTAGCCTTTTTCCCTGATCTTTAAAACACATGTTCACTTTCTAATGGATACTCTGTACAGTTGAAAAGATTCAAATCCCTTTACAAAGCCTTAAAGGAAACATTGTTCCAGATCTCTCTCTTATATTTTGCATTTATGCCCACTTCTCAGTCCTTTGAAGTCTGCTAAATTCATTGTTATGAGGAGGAGAGCTGATTTCATTGAGAGAAAAATTCTATACAATGTCCACGAGCTGCGATTCTAAATTCTAAACAATGAGGTTTTTAAAATTACAGATGAATCCTAATGCCTACAAAATTTCTGTGACATGGTTTGCTAAGTCAACCGACAGTCCACTATTTCATTTTCCTCTTTTTGCTGGAATGGCTAGAATGCAGTATTGCAGGCTAACTCTGCCGACTGCCAAGAGTTCAACTCCTCCAATCCTGACTGGCTTGTTGGAGGCAATATACTGACTTTGTAAACTGCTTAGGGCATGAGTGTCAAACTCGCCACGTCACGTTGCCGTCATGTGACATTTTGCAACATTTTCCCCATTCGCAGGGCTGGGATGGGCACGGCCTGAATGCATCCGGCCCACAGCCAGCCAGTTTGACACCCCTGGCTTAGAGAGTGCTGTAAACCGCTGTGGAGCAGTATAAAAAAAAAGTCTTTAAAAAAAGTCTAAGAATTTATAAGAGAAAGTTATTTTCTCCAATACCATCTATAAGCAAATATAACCCAGTCCAAACTTATGAATATTTCCTGAGAAATAATTTCACACTGTATTAGTGGATGTAACAATACA